GACCAACTCGCCAACTTACAAGCTCTGCTCCTAACATCTGTCCCAACAACCTGCGCTGCCATCACGGCTCTTAAACTTTCGCAGCAAGAAATACTGGATGCAGCAAAGAAACTGAAGGATAGCGAACCATGTGCCAAGCGGGTTATATTTTGAAGGCGGTTCTCTATGTCTGTCACTCTGGAAAGTATATGTAAGCATATATTCAGCCTCCTAGAACCGCATAAGTATAAACCTATTAGCTGTAGTTGGCTAACCGCCAAAGGTTCACGGAGACGTTTGGGCTTTCTTGTTGAATTGGGGTCTTCCAAGCTCGCCAATGATATTCTCACCCAAGCACCCACCTTAAAACGCTCCTGGTTAGGCCTGAGGGGTTTCTCCATAGACAAACCTTTGCACGTGAGACTATCACAGCCCAAGCTAATAGGTCCCAAAGTTTACCCCAGAGACACCGAACTATTGAGAAGCGCATTTCGGTTGGACTCAAAAGTTCTTAATTCCCAACCCTAATCCCCAGACCCCATACCCTTAGACGAGACTGTGGTTTGCCTTAAACCAATGGCGGCCGGCTCAGCAAACAATAATTTCATAGAACGGGACCGGATTTCAATCGAGGCACCTGTGAATAAGAGGCAAAAGAGGTTGAAAAGCAAAAAGCAGACTAAAACCAGCCCGGCTTGCAACCCAGCCACACCGAACACTAAAAGAGGACTCCTCGGGGATCCTCCCAGCCGCAACCTAGTGCGTCGGAACACACTGCTAAAGCGGCCAGAGGCCGACCAAACCTTCGCCCTTGGAATGGTCTTTCCTGCGGTGTACCCTCCCAGGTCAACAACGGCAAAAACGGGGCAATTTTTCAGACGAGGGCTTGGGGGACTGGCGGACCACCGGAGAGGCTCATGGTGAGATACCCTCAAGATAGCCGTCCGACCAACGTACGCTCAAATTGTACGTCGACCACCACTAATGTCCCTTCCGACTGTTCACACTGTCCGCCCTTCTCCCTAAAAAAACTCAAGAACGCTGATGGATGCATACTTAAATATATTTCTAGCAACTGTCTTAGCCTGCCAAACAAAGTTGTCGAATAAAAGCAACTCACCTTAGAGTAACAACCCCATGTTATCACTCTCACTGAAACCTGGCTGAATGACAATGTTTCGGACGGGGAGATCTCCATTCCCGGTTTTACACTGATGAGAGCAGACTCAGTTCGGGGTAGAGCATGTGGTATCACAGCTTATTTTAGTTGCGCCCTCCCACCTCCGTTTCTTATTTCAGTCGACCCAATAAACCCAAAAGATATTCTATGGGTTAAACTCAAACTCTCGAGGTCTGTCTCACTCCTACGTGGAGTCGTGTACCGTCCCCCACAGAGTTCACCCCTCGAAAGCCAACTACTCAGTGACCAGTTCAAGCCAATAAGTGGCACCCATCCTTTCACCCACCTTCTAATTACTGGTGAATTCAATGCCACGGGTCTTGATTGGCTCAGAGCATACGCTTCAGACCTTTAGTTTGGCCGTCCTTTTATTGATCTAGTACTAGAAAACTCCTGGACTCAACACGTGGATCAACCTACGAAGTTCCGTCCAGGCCAGGCCCCTTCATTGCTAGATCTGATTATAACGAATGAAAAAAATCAGATCAACATGGTAAATCTCCTCACTGCTATTTGACTACATTATGGACTGGAAAACCAAAATAGAATGTCCACAAATGGTCAGATCGTTCAAGCGTACCAATTTCGGTTCCTTAAGAGAGTTTCTTAGGGCACAGTTTAACGGTTTTCCTCTAGACCTACCCGTAGACAATCCTACATAACATATAGAACAAATCGACACTTTAGCTGACGAGCGATTCGTCCCCCGCGTTTTCGCACGCTCTAGTTCTAAACCACTTCTCCCTCCGCCCATCCGTAGGCTTTTAGATGAGCGGTCTAGACTGTTTGCAAGATACACGCAAACGGGACTCGAAGCTGGTGGACTAGCCTTTAAAAGGCTCAGGAATATCTGCTCCTCAAATATTAGAGATTACAAACTGCGCACGCAAAGAGCTATACTTGAACGAGCTCAAAAACAGACCCTTCCTCTACAAGTATATCCGTCGACTCCGCGGCACATCTCACCCCCCTCTCGCCCTCAAGTTACCAGATGGGACAGAAGTAACTGCCCCTTCACAGATTGTAGGCAAATTTAAAAAGCACTACCAGATCATCTTCAGCTCCACTCCCATCATTACCCACCCGATACTACAGCCCTCTCCATTAAACTCTACGTTTAACCGTGTCACTTTCTCACAGTTAGACGTAGAGAAAAAGCTATGGAACATCAACCCTTACTGCTCTATGGGGCCCGACAAAGTACACCCTAGAATTCTTAAAGAATCGGCGGATATCTCGGCTGACCCATACACCCGACTCTTCCAACGGTGTATGAATAAGAGGATATTCCATTCTCCCTGGAAAGCCACAGTTCTCTCCCATATATACAAAAAAGTTAGTAGATTCCTTCCAGTAAGCTACTGTCCTGACTATCGTCCCAAGCAAAATTCTTGAGCGCATGCTGAAAGAGGCCATCTTGAAGCACCTCTGCGCAAATAATTTACTTTCAACCTTTCAGCACGGGTTTCTGTCAGGCAGATCTTGCATCACCAATATACTGACTGTCGTGGATAGTTAAACAAAGGCGTATGATGAAGGCCAAATCTTGTACGCCGTACACAGATTTTCCCAAGGCTTTTGACAAGGTCCCACACTTCCCACTCATACACAAGCTGGGGGCGTGCGGAATCATTGATTTTCTTCTATCACTCATTGACAGCTTTCTCTCTTACCGCACTTTTACCGTAAGGGTTAGCGGTACACTATTCGAATCTAGCTCTAGTACAATCGGCGTCCCTTAGGGATCAGTTCTCGGTCCTCTTCTCTTCCTTATTTATATTAACGATCTACCCAGTGCATTACCTGAAAACGTAGCTATGTACACGGATCATATCACCATCTGGAGTGCAGCTACCCGCATGCTACAGACATCTATCGATGCTGTTAAACACTGGTCCGTTGAATGGAATCTGCTCATCAATGCTGACAAGTGCGTAGGCATGACTTTTGGGAACTCCCTCCCGTCTCGTTTCATATCAGTGGTACGCAACCTCTTCAGCATACCATCTTGCACAAGGTCCTAATCTTCTGGTTACATAGTATTCTCTCTTTTTCGCACCATAACCAGTTAGCCAGCAAATCTGCGTTCCGTGTTCTTCACCTTTTTCGAAGGTCTTTCGCTCATATCACCAAGAAAGAATTTCCACTTATTTATTTTCACTTATCCGTCCTCTCCTAGAATATGGTAGTCAAGTTGTTCACTTCGGCCTGATCCGTGATCGTGATGCCCTTGAACGAGTTTAAAGAACGGCAACAAAACCAGTGGTTGGATTGCAACACCTTCCCTATCCTGAACGTCTAGTGGAGCTTGATCTATATCCGCTGAAAGTCAGGCGAATCAGTGGTGACTTATTTCTTCTACACCACCTGTTCTCTAGATAAGTAGATAAGTTTTTCAATTTAGCCCCCACGGATGGAACACGGGGAAATAGCAAAAAGCTATACAAACCTCAATCCCGCACCACACTTCGCACATCTTTCTTCACGTTCAGGGTAATTACTCACTAGAACGCATTGCCAGAAGAGATAGTCGCTCTAACAAGCACAGCGTCATTCAAGTCTCGAATTGATAAGTATCTAGGTCTATTTACCTCCTCTTGAGTCCTCCTTCGAAAAAAGGTTTTGGAAAAAAACAAAAAAAACGTTTTTATTTTTTATATTTACTGTAGCCCTCTTCTAGTTATTTATGCCTTTCCCCATTTACGATAGCAAATTGTTACATTTATTAAAAACGTTTCCAGTATAACTAGCGTCGCTAGTCCCCGGGCAAGACAATATTTTGCCCCTCCAGCTTTCTCTGATTTTTCAGTTGCATTCTCCAAAACAGACGAAAAGAAACCATCAAGGATCCGGGACCATTTGGCACCAGCCTCGAACCAGGGAGTCACTTCAAGAATTCAAGGCAGGACTTCGATATGCTGTCGTAAGATTCTGTGCAATGTTTTGGCCACGGGTTTGTCGAATAAGGTAATTTACTATGGACTTTATTGTGACAGGTGTATTATCTCCTCGCTGATGGGGGTGACACAATGCGGGAGGCTATACGTCTACTGGTCAGATGTGTGTTTGAATTTGAATGGCATCCGGATAAAACGCGCAATATCATCATCACGTATAACAGACACTATCATGGGTAAGTCGAAATGCCAATGAATTTTGTAATGCTTACATCTCGTAACGATTTATTCATTAAGTGTTCCATTTATTTTTACGAACTTATTTCTTATGTCATTTTTCTTAACATGTCTTAGGCAGCTGTTATGATTTTCTAATGGATCTTTTATTTAGAGTACGATATATATAATTCGATTATTACGTTTGGAGGTGCTTCCACTCGTAACCACTTCATGGTTAGAAATTTAGTCCCTCACATTGACCCGGAAGGTGCGATTACTCAAAAAGGCTACAATCCAGTCCCTTGCTATACCTGTTATGTCTAGGCTCCGAACTTTAAAGTCCAACAATCGATGGCTAACAGAGTCAAATGTTTCACAGAATTCTAAGTCGCAGACTTCTACATCTTTCCTCTTATCCGTACGTCGAGTGACTTCATCTAGGAATACAAGCGGATTAATAATAATAATAGGTGTATATTTCACGGAGCCTGTGAGACGTGCACAAGACATGATCAAATGATCAGAGCGAGTATATGAACAATAACAGTCTAAGTACATAGGTAGACAATAAAAATGGTGGGGATCAGAACGAAAACACAGTGTGAAAGGAACACAAACCG